GCATCGCTTTTGTGATGGGTTTTCTGCATTTTCGGGGTTCTTGTCACCTATTTCTTGCAGTGTCGCATTTGCTTGTTCTTGTTGCTTATTCCTTGATCAATTTTTTCTTACCTCCTATATGCTTTCACCTATACTAGTTGAAAATTTTTACTGCTTCATGCCTTTACTTACCTTTATTGCGTTTACCTTACTTTTGCACTTTATTATGTTATACCCAATTGTGTTAGTCCTTTAATTGTTCTTTTGGTAACACTATGAATATTACCGTTGATCAACTAAATGATTACACCTAGAGAGCACTTTATATTATAATCAAATCGATTATGAATATGAAGCCTCTAAACAAGAAAACTATACATTAGTAATCCTCTTGAAGAACTCTCTAACTCTACGTGTCTTTCCTGACATATGCATTAAGCTGAATGTTCCTATTGTTTCCTTCTTTGAAACTCATTTGAAAATCGTCCAGTTTCTCCCTTCCACGTATGATAGAACAGCTCCAACAGTTGCTGCCACTGTTTCTTTCTGTTTCTATTCCAGTTTTTCTTTTTGATACTCACTAAGATTTCCTCTATATCGCCTTTTTGTATATGCACATCAAGCTAACCCAAAATCTCTTATCGTATAGTCTTTAGCCATTGACAGTCCTTATACAAGTGTTGGTGCATTTCATTTACTTGATCTACTCACAGGCAGCAATTTACATTTTCCACATGCATCTGCAACTTCAACATACTCTCCTTTGTAAGTAGCCTTCTCTTCACCCCTAACCACAAAAAGAACATGTGCTTTGGTTATGACATTGCACTCCAGGTGAGATCAGCAACACACATCCTAAATTGCCGACCTATTAGTGCATTGTAACTTATGGTTATTGAATATTCCCCGCCCTTAATCAGAGTCTAAATCCCCTTTTCATACCACTATTTCATGTCCTCATTTAGGGAGTTTATCTTTTTCCAGTACCAGCTGCAGTCAGCTAGAGCTTTATGTGTCCAAATGCTAGTGTTAGACTTCATGTATAGTCCATGAACCCATCTCACCCACAAATCTTCCTTATTATTTATCAGTTGCCACAATAGTTTCCCCACAGCAGCAACATTCCAAAGTTTGCCTCCATTCACATTCAGGCCTCCATACATCTTAGGAGAGCAGATTCTTTCTCATGCTACTAGAGCCAGTTTCTTCTTCTCTCCTGTATTGCCCCATAAGTATTCCCTACATATTTTATCCATCTCCTTCATTACACTTTGAGGAAGAATGAATACTGCACTCCATAAGTTGTAGATAGAAAATAGCACTGAGTTTATCACTTGTAATCTGCCAACATATGAAAGTTGTCTAGAATGAGTATTTTTTATTCTACTAGTTATCCTGTCCACAAGTTGAAGGCAGTCCAGTTTATTCCACTTCCTTGAAGAAAGAGGAAGTCCAAGACATCTTATTGGAAAGGTTCCTTCAATGAAACCAGTTGTAGCTAACAATTGACCCTTTGTAGAATCATCTACCCCAACTATAAACATGCTTGACTTATCTAAATTTGCAACTATCCCTGACACCTCACTGAAGTGATTGAGTGCTTCAACCACCCTTGTTACTGAAGGTACATTACCTTGGCAGAATATCATGAGGTCATCAACAAAAATCAAGTGAGTCAGCTTCAAAGTTTTACACATATGATGAAATTGAAAATATGGAAGATTACTCTTAGTCTTCGGAACTCTTGAAAGGCATTCCATTACTAACACAAAGAATAAGGGAGACATAGGGTCCCCCTACTTTAGTCCCTTCTTCCTTCAAAATATCCATGTCCATCCCCATTCACTTTAATGGAGAATTTGGGAGATGTCACACACACCATTACTAGTGAATAAACCTCTATGGGAATCCAAATACAGTCAGCACCTCCTTTAGGAATCCCCAATCCACCATGTCATAAGCCTTTCTAAGGCCAATCTTCATAAGACATCTAGCAGAGGTCTTCCAGTTATAATGCCTCAAGAGGTAATGACAAATTAGCACATTGTGCATCTATGAACTCCCTTACACAAATGTTGCTTGGTTGTATGACACAATAAGTTAATGCAGTGCTTCAGTCTCTTGCAAATCATTTTGGAGATGCATTTATATAAAACATTACAACAGGAGATTGGTCAATATTGGCTAGCATATTCATGCCTCTCTACTTTAGGAATCAATGCTATTATTGTAGTATTCAGTTGCCTTAGAAGTTGGACATTCTAAAAAAACTCTAGAATAGCTGTAACTATGTTTGCTCCTACGATGTTCCATGCTGATCTAAAGATTCAACTACCATAGCCATATGCTTATCAATTTGAAACATTACCTCTTTGCCTTCCTTTCCTATGTATGGTCTGATTAGGTCCAGTTGCTGCTCAATTGACAACACATGCCCTTGTTTCACAAAGCTAGTAAAAGCCTTGACTCTAGAGGATACATATTTGCCCAGAAGGTTTTCATAGTAGTCCACAAAGACTTGAGCAATATGGTCAGGATCAGTCTGCCAAGTGCCATGTTCATCCTTTATCTGTAAAGTTGCCTGTTTCAGTCTTCTATGTTTAATCACTCTATGAAAATATTTTATATTGTCATCTCCTAGATTTATCCAAGTTGTTTTGCTCTTCTGCTGTAAGTACCTTTCTTCCATGTAAGATGTCCTTCGGAATAACTGATATACTTCACCTTGTTTGTGCTGTAACTCTATGTAATAAGGATTTGTCTGTAGTTTTTCCTAAATTTTCCTTAGCTCTTACCTATACATATCTATCTCATTTACTACATCCTTCAAGTAGTTAGAATTCAGCTGTTTCAAGCTCTTCTTCAGCAACTTCAGTCTTTTAACTACTGTCAGCATTTTGCACCCATCTACTTCCACCTCCCAACCAGCTTTCACTGTATCAACAAACTAAGGATGTTAATCCCGTACATTGCAACATAGGAAAGACTTCTTCTTTCTTACTCTATCACCTTCTAGTATTAGCCGAATAGGACAGTGATCGCTTATTCCTTCATGGAAGAATTTGGCCTGACAAGCAGGTAATAAGTCTAGCCATTTGTCATTCATAAATGCCCGGTCAATCTTAGAAAACATTCTTTGATCAGATTTCTTATCGCTCCACGTATATATGTGACCCTGATTTGGAAGTTCAATTAAGCCACTTGCATCAATACAGTTCCTAAACTCCACCACTACTGCCCATGTTATATGATTGCCTCCTATTCTACCCTCCTATGATAAAACTGAGTTGAACTCCCCTAGGACCAACCATGGTATGGCACAAACTGCATTATGTTGCATAATTCATTCCAACATCCGTCTCATTTCCTCTCTAGTGTTGAAAGCATACACCATAGATACCTAGAACGTTAACTCTAGTGGAATGTAAGTCACCTCACAAGTTATCACCTGAGCATCAATACTAATAGGTACTACATTATAGTAATACTGCCTCCAGGATAACCAGATTCGACCATTATAATGTGATTCTAGGTTGGTAATATAATTCCAACCTCCAAATATACAATCTGCTATTTTATCTATTTTCTCCTTTTTTATCTTTATTTCTAGCAATCCAACTAGCCTAGCTCTAACTTCATTGAATAGGATCTTAACTTCCTCCTGCTTATTTGGGGAATTCAAGCCCCTAACATTCCAACATAGCAGGCCAACCATCCCCAATGTGAGGTATAGTTCCCCCTCCCCCATTTCTTGCTATGACACTAGCTCGCGGGCCAGACCATTTAGACTTGAGTTTTCCGGGAAAGAACTTGAGTCTTGAATTTAAGAGTAAGACCAAGTCACTGGAATTGAATTCCTGCTTCAAAATCTTCTTATCATGGAAAAACATCATTCTCTCCTTGTACATGGCTGCACTCTCATAGGCATGGAGACGGAATTCATCCATCTCATTGAGTTGTGTCATTCTCAGGTTAGCAGCCTCGGCCCAGTCAAGATTCAATTTCTTCAATGCCCACATGGCTTTTCGTTCAAGCTCCACTGGCAAGTGACATACTTTGCCAAAAACCAACCGGTACGGTGAAGTTCCACTGGGAGTCTTAAATGATGTGCGATATGCCCACAACGCATCATCTAGCTTCCTTGACCAGTCGGTCCTGTTTGCATTGACCGTTTTTGCTAGGATGTTTTTGATTTCCCTGTTAGAAACTTCAACCTGACAACTCGACTGAGGATGATAAGGTGTGGCCACCTTGTGCTTTACGCCATACTTTTCAAGTAGCCCGGTGAAAGCCTTGTTGCAGAAATGAGAACCACCATCACTCAAGATGGCCTTGGGAGTCCCAAACCGCGTGAATATGTTCTTCTTCAAGAATGCGGTCACACTCCTTGCTTCATTTTTGGGCAAGGTGATTGCCTTGACCCATTTGGAGACGTAGTCCACAGCCACTGAGATGTAGGTCATTCCATAAGAGGTCACAAAAGGGCCCATAAGTCTGTCCCCCACACACATCAAAGATCTCGACCTTCAGTACGAAATTCATATGCATCTCATGTCTTTTAGATATTGACCTTATCTTTGACATTGATAGCATGCCTTGACTATTTGATTTGCGTCTTGGTAGATCGATGAGCAATAGTAGAAACATTCAGGCACCTTTGCAATTGTCCAGTTTCCTCTATGATGACCCCCAACCGGAGAATCATGGGATGCTTTGAGAATTTTCATTACCTCATCTTCAGGAACACACCGCCGAATGATGTTGTCGGCACAAATGCGGAACAAAAACGGTTCCTCCTAGTAGTATTGCCTACATTCCCGCAAGAACTTTTTCTTTTGATAAGTCTCCAATCCATCGGGAATAAGGTCACTAACCAAAATGTTAGCGATGTCGGCATACCAAGGAGCGAATGTTCTAGACAATGCCAATATGTGCTCATCTGGAAAGGCATCATTGATTTCAAGGTCTTCTTTTGGTCTCCCTACCTCTTCAAGCCTAGATAGGTGATCCGCAACTTGATTTTATGTCCCTTTCCGATCCTTGACTTCGAAGTCAAACTCTTGCAACAAAAGGACCCACCAAATAAATATTGGTTTGGCATCCTTATTCGCCATAAGATAGCGAAGAGCACCATGATTGGTGTAAACTATCACTTTGGAGCCCAACAAATAAGCCCGAAACTTTTCAAAAGCATAGACAATGGCGAGAAGTTCTTGCTCAGTCACAGTGTAATTAATTTGAGCGCCATTGAGTGTCTTTCTTGCATAGTAGACAGGGTGAAGGATCTTGTTATGACGTTGACCAAGCACCGCCCCAATAGCTACACCACTAGCGTCACACATGAGTTCGAATGGAAGAGACCAATCAAGTGTGACAATAATAGGTGCCGTGGTGAGCTTTTCTTTCAATTCCTCAAAAGCCTTTAGACACTTCTTATCAAATAAAAACTTTGCATTTTTTTCAAGGAGATTGAACAAGGGATTTGCAATTTTTGAGAAGTCATTGATAAAACGCCTATAGAAGCTTGGAGATGATTTTGATCTTTTCCTGATCAACCTCTATGCCTTGTTTGTAAACGTTGTTTCCCGAAACAATGCCCTCGTCCACCGTGAAGTGGCATTTCTCCCAGTTTAGCACAAGGTTTGTTTCTCTACATCTTTTGAGCACTTGTCTAAGGTTGTCAAGACAATGCTCAAAGGAATCACCCACTACACAGAAGTCATCCATAAAAACCTCTAAGAAATCCTCCACCATGTCCGAGAAGATTGACATCATTCACCGTCGGAAAGTAGCCAGGCGTTGCGCAGCCCAAAAGGCATACAGCTAAAGGCAAAACTCGCATATGGGCATGTGAATGTCGTCTTCTCTTGATCTTCCAAGGCAATGTTGATTTGGTTATAGCTAGAATATCCATCCGAGAAGCAATAGAATGACCTTCCTGCTAGCCGATCAAGCATTCGATCAATAAAAGGCATAGGGAAATGGTCTTTACAAGTCGCACTGTTTAGCTTCCGGTAATCCATGCAAACTCTCCATCCGGTCACTATTCTCATTGGGATGAGCTCATTTTTCCGTTTTGAATCACGGTCATGCCTCCTTTCTTCGGAACACATTGCACCGGACTCACCCAAGAACTATTGGCAATGGGGTAGACCTCCCCGACATCTAACTATTTGATGATTTATTTCTTTACCACCTCTTGCATGGAAGGGTTTATCCTTCGTTAATGCTCGACACTTGGTTTACTCTCTTGCTCCAATTGTATCTTGTGTTGACAAATTGCGGCGGGAATCCCTCGGATGTCCGCTATTATCCACCCAATAGCTTGCCTGTGCTCCCTCAAGACATTCAACAGTGTTTCTACCTGCACATCATTCAACAAAGAAGAAACGATTACCGGTGGAGTGTCATTAGAGCCAAGCAATTTATACCTCAAGTGCGGTGGAAGTGGCTTGAGCTCAAGTTGCGGAGGCTCAATAATTGAAGACTTGGCGGGAGGAGTGACTCTATTCTCTAAGTCAAGAAAAAATTTCTTAGGAGCAAAGGTGTAGGACCCATTTCCTTCAAATACATTCACCGATTCCATGTACCCCTCCATGTCTTCACCATCAAAATTTACCAAAATAGCCTCCAACGCATCACCAAGGCATTGTTCTTCCATCTTCATCTCAGTTGCATCTTCTACCTCATCAACAACATCAATGACTGAGATGATTTCATATGCATGTGGCAACTTCATACCCTTGCTCGCTTGGAAAGTAACCTCTTCGTCATTAACTCGGAACTTGATCTCATTTCGTTCATAATCCATAAGTTCTCTTCCTGTAGCAAGAAATTTTCTCCCCAAGATGATAGGGATCTCTTTGTCAACTGCACAATCAAGGATCACAAAGTCAACGGCGAGGAGGAACTTTCACAAAAACATCATCAATAATTCCTAGTGGGCTTTTTATTGAACAATCGGCCATTTGCAACCTCATACTTGTAGGCCTCGGCATACCTAACCCCGGTTGCTTGTAAATAGCAAGAGGCATTAAATTGATGCTAGCCCCATTATCTCAAAGAGCTCTTGCAAAATCGCATGCCCCAATAGTGCATGGAATGTAAAAGCTCCTGGGTCTTCTTTCATTTGAACGGTGGTTGTTGCAATGATGGAAATAACCCGGTGAGTCACATTCACCACTTCATTCTTGGTGGTTTTCTTCTTAGTGATCAAGTCTTTCAAATACTTAGCAAAACCTTCCTTCCAATGCGGAGAGTTGGAATATTTCTCATTTGGTAGAACATGGGGGTTTGAACTCCGATTGTAAAAGTTGTTGTTGTTGCTATTCTAATTCCTTTGATTTGAACTACCTTGGTCATTTCGCCACTATTGGTTGCCTTGCCCTTGCGGGTTAGGCCTGCATTGGTTTTGTTGTCCTGAACCTTGGTACGGTTGCCTTTGATTACCTCCTTGAAAGTTGTTAAAATAATTTGCTTCCTCATAATCTTCATTTGATGTCGGTTGAACATCTTCCACCGCATTCACCTTTTTTGTTTGGCTTTTACTATCTTTGTCAACACATTGACGTTGGTGGCAAGCCCGGCAATTACTTGATCTCTTTCTTGGTTCTCCTTAATCATATTGGCTAAGGAAGGAGTACCATATGCAATTCCACTCGTGGTGTCCTCTAAGTGCCAAGCTTGGTTATGTTTTGTAATTTTGTCAAGGATTTGTGTGATACTCGCAAATATTTTATCCAAAAAAGATCCATCAGCTGCATTCTTGGCTATAGATTGATTCATAGCATCCAAACCCATGTAGAATTTCTCCAACAAGATAGAGTCTGGAAAACCATGATTCGGCGACCTCACCAAATATAACTTGAATCGATCTCATGCCTCATGTAGATGTTCTCCCAGTAATTGCTTGAAAAAGAAAATTTTATCCCGGAGCTCAGATTTCTTGCTTTGTGGGAACCATTTAGCTAGGAATTCTCGAACAAGTTCAGGCCAAGAATGAACGGAATTTGGTAGTAGATTTTGAATCCATTTCCTCGCCTCTCCAGTTAGTGAGTACTTGAACACCCTTAATCTTAGGGCATCATCTGAGACGTTGTTCTGCTTGTGCATCGCACAAACACCCAAGAAGTTTCTGAGATGTTGTGTCGGATCATCATCGGTGGAATTTCTAAAAAAAAAAACCTCTACTTTGAGCATTAGGATTAAACTGTGTTCCACCTTGAAAGTGGCAGCATCGACTCTTGGAGGTACAATAGCATTTGTATCCTTAATGTACTTATCTATGTCCGTAAAAGGATTCTCTTCTTCGTCATATTCGGCCATGATTTCCTATCAACACCAAGCAAAATAAGTAAAGTGTGATGGAATAGAAGAAGATGTAAAGTAAAGCACACACAAATTAATAATTTCAAAATCATATTCACCAGAAACGGCGCCAGAATTTGATACGCTCAAATTACGCTTTAAATAAATAGTGTATGGCGGTCGGTGTCATATATTATAATCCAACAAGGTTGGGGTCGAATCCCACAGAGAATAGGTGTGAAAAGGTTACTTGAATAGTGTAAAACTTCACTTGAGTCGTAATTCTATTCCTTTAGCTTACAAGAGAATGATATAATTGTGATTTAACAAGATAACTATTTTGTTATGAGAATGTGATTAATTTGATTAAGGAAACCAAGGTTGTGTCCCCATCAATGAAATGTAATGCTATCGGTGTTAATATGATATATTTCTAATGGAAGGTCCTTTGATATGCAAATGGTTTCTAAATGACTACCCAATATTTTCCAATGGTTGGGTAGTATTTTCTCTTTATGATTTTCCCAAATATAAAAGAGTTACAAATAGGAACAACCAATTTATGCCAAGTAGAACCCACTTATTCCTAAGCGATTCTATTAAACAAGGTTTAAAGTCTTGAGTTCTTGATATTCACTTCTACCAAACCCTAAACTTTTCCATGTAAAGAGTACAATGGAATTTGTTAATGTTTGCAACCACCAACAACAAATAAGCACAAGAAATGAATAAATATCAACCACCCATTATATATATATTCAATGTGAAACACCCAATAACATTACACCCATTTAGGGTCCACAACCTTAGTATTTAAAACTAGCTACTAATACTAAAATACAAAAGCAAAATAATAAATAAAGATATAAAGCTTACAAAAGTGCAAGATTCTCTTCACAAGCCTCCAAATTAATGGAGTATTCAATGCCTTCAATGTTGTCCCTTTTTCAGACTTAATGACCCACAAAAGTCCTAGTTATTCTTTTATAGTGGACCAAAAAAGGTGAACAAAATTGTACAAAATTGCACATGCAGAGACCTTCTGCGATCGCATTATGGTCGCACACCACGTATGCGGTCCGCATAGTCAGCATTTGCATCGCATAGTTGTAGGTCTTGAGCCCAGATCACCTGGTCGCATTCCAATTATGCGGTCCGCATATCAGTTATGCGACCGCATATGCCGTCGCAAAATAGCTACCCAGCAGCTTCAGTTGGAATTGTGCGGTCATTATGTGGTCCGCAGAAGTGTTATGCGACCACATAATGGACCGCACATTTTTCTCTTCAGTTGGCCAAAAGTTCTGCTTCGCTTTGCGGAGGTTATGCGATACGCATTTGACTTTTACGGTCCAATACTTACAGCATTTATGTCTTTTTCTGACTTTTGACTTCTTTTCCATGTTCTTGGGTCTTCAAGTCTCATGCACTACAAAAAACCAAAACTTGATAAGAATTAACTAAAAATGCATTGAAAGAGAAGCTAAAATCTATGTAATTTGTATCAAAAGTGCCGAAATTCTACGGCACATCAGAATTTTTTGAAAAGATTTCTGTCATATGTCATGTGGTTTGTACAACCACTACCAATCATCTAACAATTCGATTTCTTGGTTGAAAGAAGGATTGTCACAAACAGGTGATCTTCTTCTTCTTCATGGCGACTTGGGCATCTGCTTCATGCTTTTGAGATTAGCCTTTGCAAATTACAGCTTCATGACCAAGTTGGTTGCTAAATTTTGCACTTTGCATCTTGCCTCTTTCAATATTTGAATGGTGGATGACCCTTTTTGCCACAAGTCTGATAAAGTGGGTAATTTTCATTGCATTATTACCCTTGCTTTGAGTTTTGTGGTTGACTGCCAAAGCTCCTTCAACCATACACCATCATGCCTCATAAGCATCCTTTGCTCTTGTGCCTGCAATGTATTTAACAATTTTGCCACGGTAATCTTGGATAGATCCATTGTGTTTTCCAAGGTGGTTATGGATACTTCATATTTTCAGGCACCGTAACAAGAATTTTTTCAATAATTCTTGAATCATTAAATTTAGTACCAAGCAATCTTACCTTGTTAACAATGCCAAGCAACCAATTTGAGTATCCTTTGACGGTCTCATATTCCTTCATTTTCTACAACTCGAATTCCCTTACTAAATTCAACACTTTCATGCCACGTATTATTTCATCTCCTTATATTCTTTCTTCAGATAATCACAAATTTCTTAGGTTGATTTGAGTGCCATAGCTCTCGTAAAAATTACTGCAGATATACCAACAAACAAAGTTACTTTCTCCTTGGATTTCCTGTTTTTCTTTTCCTTTTGACTCTTGATCTGGGCCATGGTGGGATTGTAAGGTAGTGGAAGAACATCATAATTCTCTTCCACGGCCTCCCGACAATCTAAAGCCTCCAAGTAAGTCTCCATTCTCACTGCCCAAAGTTGGTAATTTTCACCATCAAAGACTGGAGGAGCCAATTGAGATAATTGTTTCAGTCTCCATCTCACTCAAGAAATTTATTTTAGTCAGGTCCCTTAAGATGATGTCTCTTGATGCAAATTATTGGTTCTTGATAAAAGAAACTAAGGAAAATAATAGGGAAAGATGACAGGAATATAAAAGAAGTATACTGGAAGTTAAAAATTCTATTCTATTTTACTGCATATGGACTATAAATTTATAAGAGAACTACTAACTTAAAAGACCTAAAAATCAGCACAAATCTGCTGAAAATAACAAACTCCTAAAGTCTAGTTCACTTCTAAAGACTAGTTCAAAATTATTTCAAATTCAAACAAAAAT